AGCGTCCAACTCAGCCGGTAGGCTCTCTGACTCAGTCGAACGGGGGGAGCGGGGGGGGGGCAGGGGTCAGAGGTCGCCCCAGTGCGAGTCTGGGGAGACTCGAGAGCGGAACCTCGGATGATCAAGGTCAGGTGCGGGTCACTGTGGCTGCCGTACGCGTCACTGGAGCTGGGGAAGTTTGTGGTGAGCTTGTTAGCGAGTCGTGTAACCCGAGTTGTGACGAGTAGGGAATAAGTTCGACATTAACATGCACTCAACACTGAAGTACGGACGTGTTATGTGACAAAGGCTATGTTATTAGGTGAGTTATACGGCAGGGACTTGGAATTATTCCATTTGGGTCATTAGGGGGACTCGAAAGCCAACATTAACCAGCGGACACCATTTCGGAACAAAGATTAATGGCCCCTGATACGCCCATAGTCAAACATATTATTGTCGCATCAGTGGGCTTTGGCTGTTTGATTTCACCTTGTGGTCTGTAGTCTCTCTTTCATCTTTCTACATGCATGACATACCTAATATTTATAGTAATAATCTAGTCAGCATATCAAGAAATAAGCAACGTTTTGTTCTGGGTTTGCGAGAACGCAAAAGATCAAAGTGTAGACTTATGATGGAAAGGTGATAAATGCATACAAGACGATTTATTGAAAACAGTTCCAAATATGCCATATTCACATAACTATAACACATCCCACGTGATCATCCTAGCAGTAAATGTGCTGACAAGGGTTCGGAGCACGAGATGAGTGTGGCGTGGCGTCAACAGAGCTCAAGCAGGCATAATTTTGGTAAAAGGAGTGCAACTCATTCTTCGGGGACACCTTGAAAACGCTCCTTTTGTTGTTCAGGTACTTAAGTAAGCGACAAAAGAAAAATGTAACATCATTAAAACAATAAATAATGTCTAATAATTTTGACATAACTGGTTATAACTACAATGTCAGCAAACTGTCAATATTGGATGAAGTTTCAAAAACAAATGTATGTAATGGGAGCGGTTTCCACGAGCGCATGAGTACAGGATAAACGACGGCTGTCTGTCATACACGAAGCATTCTGAAATAATGACAGGCTGTTTCATATCGATTGTAACTACCCAGTGATCCCCTGAGCTACTCTGCCTCTCAATAATGACAACAATGGCATGCACAACTTCATAACATCTGCTTACTAAGGCTGCTCTTTGTAGATTGATGGTATGGTATCCGCTTACGAAAGCTGTCTTTGCTATAAATTGATGGCACGCTGTAAAGCCTGTCCATGTCGATCAATGTGACATTGGACATCAAAAGGTTGCCACTTGAATACTGCTTCCACCGCTTAGGCTGTCGAAGAAGTGTTTATTATAAGTTACCCACCTACAGCAGACCAGCTCAATGTCAGTCAACAGCGGGATGTGGTTACTTGGACAATGCGAGGGATACTTGGGCTTCGTGTAAATTAAAATGGTTCTTCCATAGAACAATAAAACGACCATATCTCCTCCTTTGTAAGTCAGAGCAAGGTAAACATGCGCGTGCAACACACAAGCTGCAGACTTTGTTCTCAGATCACCAGCAGTGAATTTGTCGGCAACTGCACTTGTTGCCGACACAAATACACTTGATAATAGATAGCAAAGCCATCTACTAGTGCTTGGACGAGCTGGAGTGTGACGTGTGAACATCGTGAGACAGAAATGATCTATCCCACTACTAATTGTATTACACAGCGTTATCTCTATAAGATCCCGTAGAGCACCGCCGATTGTTAGGGACCAGATCTGTGCAATGTTTACGTCACACGTCAGGTGATAGTCACCTGTGACAGTGTGACAGCTGTGAGCCTATGATGATGCAATAAATGTGCTGTCAAAAAAGACGAGTGATTTGACTCCGTGACGTCTAATTTGAAACAAAACAACCGCAACGACATGCAATCCCTGAAAAGCAATGTCGCCAACCCGAGCTTGGAGCAGTAAATAAATACATGCGGCTGAGTTGCGTTTCGTGTTATTTTCCGGCGAGTGTGTTTGAGCGTCTTGTTTGCGCCCTGTCGCGTGTCTCATCAGCGACCTGTTTTTCGTCGCGGCTTCTTTGTATTCGGTTCGGGCGGTGGCAGTAACCACTGTCGGACTGCCGGGACGGGCACCGGGGACCTCTGCACCCCTGTCCGCGCCGCCACGCACTCGTTACGAGTGTACACAGGCGCTGTTGTTGACTCTCGGTGCACGTTAGACACCGTTTGGACTGCCGTTTTCGACAGGGGTCTCCCACACAGCGGCGTCGCCAGCCATTGGCGTCATTGCCGCCATTGCAGCCATTACCGGAATGGTTCAAACGCCGCGGCGGCCGGGTCGATCGCTGATGGGACGCCTGAAAAGCCACCAGGCCGGTGAATTATGCAGCCCATTTACCACGTCTGTGCATCAGACCCGCCGAGATGGATGGCTGCGGCCGCGAATAAATAGCGCTAAGGCAATTTTGAAGCATTGTTAATGGCGGGTGATTGACTGAGTGGCTTTGGTGACGGTGGGGACGGCGTTAAGCCGGGAATGTCGCCAGCCGCCGGCATTGAAAGTCGCCTCGAAGGGGGTGTGATCCGTCAGTTCACAGGCCGCAGGTGGCCTGAGTGCCCCGTCACTTGCTATTCTGAGTGCAGAGAGAATACAGAGATACTCAGAGAACCGGCGCCGCATGAAACTGGCGCGAGACTAATCGGTTTCGAGAAGTCATTAACGGCTTAAGTGATTCTGGAACCCTATGCGGGTTTTAATTGTGTGAGATGAAAGAGGTTAGAGTGGTGAATTTAAGGTCAGCAATTACCGATCAGAAGTCGCTGACGCTGATCGAAGGCATTGAAACAGTTACTCTGGCGTCAAATCCAACACAGAAATCTCGTGAAAAAGGTGTGCGAAACCAAAATAACACCGTTCAGTGAAGCTTTCCATAAGCGACACGGGACATTGGGCATTGCGGCCGTCTCATTTTCAGTAGTGGTGTGAGCACTGACGTTCTTGATTTTTTTTTATATAAATATTGATATTTGTAAATGGGTAACATTCAAAATATGTTTTATGTATTTATTAGAATAATATATGAATATTATAACAAAATCAGGAAACAAAAACTTCAAATAGATACATCTTTTTAACACTATTTCTATCGTAGTCAGTTCTGGCGCGGAGTTGCGCTTAGTGGCGCAGAGGTGTTATTATTTCTGTTCTGTATGTATTTTTGGGGCCCTGGTATTAACTGGATTATTTGCCAGCTGGCGCCGTAAGGTGGCGCTGGCAGAGCTTCTTACATATCAATGCTAGATATCAAAGAATAAATATTTACCTATCAATTTTACATTTAAAGCCATTTAAAATATTTATGTCCATCCTACTACCTCGCTTATACGTATATTTTAATACCTAGGTATCGTACGTCGCCAGCTGGCCAGCCAGCTGACGCAATCCAGTTTTTACCGAAGCCCTATTTTTGTATGGGAATGAATGTTGTGGTGATTGTTTTCTTTTTATATCTATTGTATGGGTGAAAATTTTAAGTTTTTTAGAGTATCTCGAAGAGTCTTCGGAATTCGGATGCTATCTTTGGCAGGTAAGATACCATTTCCCATGGCTGTTTCATTTTTTTTGTAATTGGTTTTATCATGACGCTATTTCATTTATTGTATTTTCATTTTGTGATATCCAATTTTAGTGCCTGTTAACAGGGGGTTCGTTCTCATATGAATAGGCCCGGTTTTGTGATATCCAATTTTAGTGCCTGTTAACAGGGGGTTCGTTCTCATATGAATACGTAAAAAATTGGGTGTTTGATATAGCACAAACTCACATGGTTTGGGGCCAGAAGTTGGTTGTTGACCCATGGTTAGTTACTCCTTGGCTTAGCGACAAGGACAATATTTGACATTTTCTTCTGGGCATAGAAAAAAGCACTTGGATTTTGAGGTCAAAAGCAGCTTTTGGGCTAAGCAACAAGCCAACATGGAATTGTGGCAAATGTTGCTTTGGGGTTAGCGACAAGTCACTTTTGGACTTAGCGACAAGTCGCTTTTGGGGTTTGCGTCAAAATTTGCTTTTGGGCATAGCAAAAGTTGCTTTGGATTTTAGGGGCTAAAGCAGCTTTTTGGCTTCACAGCAAATATTATTTTGACTTGGGGCAAATGCTGCTTTTAGGCAAGTCACTTTTCAGCTTAGCGACAAGTCGCTTTTTTGCTTAGCGACAAGTCGCTTTTTCGCTTAGCGACAAGTCGCTTTTGGGTTTAGGGTCAAAATTTGCTTTTGGGCATAGCAGAAAAAGTGCTTTTGGTTTTTAGGGGCTAAGGCAGCTTGTTGACTTTTTGACAAACAATTTTTGGACCTGGGGTAAATTTTGCTTTTGGACTTAGCGACAAGTCACTTTTGGGGTTGGTGACAAGATTTGCTTTTGGGCATAGCGAATAAGCCTCTTTTGGGTTCAGGTGCAAAACTTCAGCTTTTGGCTTTGAAAAGGGTTCTTGAACAAGGAAGATAATTTTGAGTGAAATAAATGTGTTGTGTGTGCCAGTGTCAAGTCAAGTGCTAGTTTGTAGGAAGCTATTTACAAGGGCAGATCCAAACTCACATTGTGTGATAAAGTGATGAAGTGGTTTTGGTGAACGAATCATTTATTATATCAAATATCCAACTGCAATGTCTTAAACTTGTACCCTATGTTTCAGCGCAAAACTGTTGGTCGGAAAACGGAGAGGCGGCGGCAGGCTGTGGGACTTCCCAGCGCTGATCGGAGGATGCAGCGGCGTGGGCTGTATATATCCCAGCGCTGGTCGGCGGACGCGACAGCGGCGGGCTGTGGGACGTCCAGCGCTGGACGGAGGACGCGGCGGCGCGGGCGCCGTCGGATGTCCAAGTGCTGGATGGAGGAGGTGTGGCAGGTTGCTGTGCAGACATCAGTGGCACTGACCTCGAAAAGCGGTGCCCGCGTGTACATAATGTGTGCTTGTATAAATACATTTGGTACAGATTATTTGTTAACACATTGAATTCCGATCGAAATACCTATCACTCTGGCGTTCATCAGTGCTCGTCTTTTATTTTTTTCTGGTGTTATTCTGAATTATTCATGCATAAGATCATGTTATCGTGTTTTTTTTTAACTAAAATACAATTAGGTACCTACTTGCTCTGGGACAGTTATAACAAAATATTCTCAACATTTCTACTGTGGTTGAAAATGAGCAGAATCATTGAGATAATATTAAACACGTAGGTATTTAGGCTCTGTAACATAACGGGCAAGCTAGAGAAGAGGCCTCGTTCTAAGCAGCGTTTTAGGAGTGAGGCAAGTATACGACCAGCTTACTTGTCATTGGCCGGTTCATGCCTGGCCTCTTGGTTCATAATTGCCTATTAATTTAGTTCCTTTGGTTCAAGTCATTTCATACGGCATTGTTATTAATTGATCTGGGACAGAACACATTCGGCGTATGCGGTCCTTTACTTCACACTCTTCCTCAATCCGGTGTCCTTTTATTTAGTGGCGTTTTCTACTTACCGCCGGAAGTGCCTTTCCATGGCGTGGTGGACAATGTAATGCCAATTTGTCACGCTCCTAGACCAAGAGGTGGGATAAAATTATGTTCAATACATAGGGCAGCCTTTTTTCTATAACATATTACCCTTCATTTTTTAGAAGTAGCGTAGTTTTTTAGCAATGTGTAATCTAAGAATCCCTTGCCGCCGCCGGAGTAAAAATGGCGCCCGTCAGCCATGCTAAAATCTGATCCCGAGGTCCCATCAATTTTTCGAAGTTTGTCACGCTGTTTGCAGTCGTTTTGTGGTTCACGTAGTACCATTAGAAAGACAATAAATTTTTGCACCTACTGTTAGCCTTCATTTTAGAAAAATGATTTCAATGCCGAGATATCTTCGATTGAATTCGTGGGTGCTCCGTCCCCATTCACTTAATAACACGGCCGCCCGCGGCCGCCGGCGGGACGGCGCGACCGGCCGCCGCGCGGCCGGCCGGTCGGAATATGAGACCGGCCGTCCCGCATCGGCGTCCATCAAGCCGTTTCTTGCAAAAAAGGCAGTATATAAATAATTAACGTTTGACAGCTAAAAGCAGGATCGTTCTTGTATGTAGATAATTCATAGCTACTGATGCGTTGTGATAACAGAATGGACAGCATGATAAAGTCATTAAACCAAGACTACAATAGCCTAGAAACGTTCAGCCATGTGTTCGTATGTACTTACCTTTGAAACTGGCGACGAACCTTTGGAATTGGCGTCGAAATAGAACCGAAGAAATAGACAACTAGCCAACTTATCCACACGTTGTTCAGCGAGGTGAAAAGTTTGAAACTATCCATAATAAAAAATATCGGAATACAGTATCAGATAATATCACAGGGGTTCAGCGGCTATTGTATCAGCGGTGTGTTGATTAAAGCTATTATTTCTACAACTTTGACGCTATTCACGTCAATGGCTAATAACTCTCAAATACAAAAGGATGAATTTTATTGATGAGCTTACTCCAATCAAACCATTTCCTTCTGAAATTCCGTGACCGTACTTCCATCGAATCATGGGTAGTCATGTGTCTCTTGAATGATAAATCAAACGCGGCACGCAGTGTGACAAATGAGCTGCTTGTTATGCTACTTTTCCGGCAGTGTTGCGGCGGAACACGCTGACATTCTAAATGGTTTCTGGAGCATTGTCCTCGGCGCTGGGTCGGGTCAGCCGCTCCGCCCCAACGACACTGAATAGCAAGCATTATATGCCGGGAAATACATAGTGTGACCTCAGGCAACTCATGTATGATACAAAAGGTGGAATTTTGAGCATTAGAAATACAATTTCTATGGGTGCCAGGACATCAAGGAATCATCGGAAATGAAATGGCGGATAGATACGCCAAACAAGCGCTTCAACTTACACATGTTTCACAAACACACTTTGATGTAAATGCCGTTCATACTTCTGTCAAATCTCGCTGCCATCGACTCTGGCAACTCACTTGGGATAGTAACGGACCTGGCTCTCACCTTTATCAAATTAAACCTCGTCTTGGATACTGGGTATCGTCCTCTCGAATTTCCAGAAAAGAAGAAAAGGCTTTGGCTAGACTCCGCATCGGTCATACGTATCTAACTCATTCATTCATATACACGAATAATCCACGACCAACCTGTTCACGATGTAGAACAGTATTGAGCTTGAAACACATAATTTTGCACTGTGAGAAATATAACAATGAAAGAAACGCACTACAACAATACTGTAGGACGCATGCAATGCAGCTTACTTTACCCTCCCTGTTAGGAGACGATCACGAAGATCTCCTGCGACTTCTTTTTTCATTTCTCGTCACAACTAATCTTATCAATCGTCTATAAGGTATTTGGTGTCTAGCGATGTATTTCTATTCCCTCTTTTAGCATTAATAATATAGTATACATCACAACTTAGTTACAACACAATGGTGCGCAATGGTCTAAAAAGACCGAAGCACCAAACAAACAAAAGACAAAAGACAAAGATTTTGAGCACGGCCATGAAGACACATTCCAGCTGTGAAATCACTGAAAACCAAAATGAATCTCCTGATGCCCTGATCATTGAAGTCTATACCCCAATTATTCCCTTTTGATCTCTTCATTATACCTATGGGGTATATTCATGGAATCGCAATTGGCTTCATATTCCCATGATATTCCCTCGTCCTCCATGAATTATTGATTCTCTTAATAAGCTCTTGATATCACCCTGTGAGAACCATATTATGCCATTGATACCCCAAATGATTCTGCATGATTCCGTGCGTATAAGATGCTGTTGATACCCCAGTCGCTGATAGTTATGCCTTTATGATTCTCTATCTATTCTTGCAATATACCCTTTCATTGCCCAGAGGGTATCTTGCCGGAATCACAGGGAGGCTCATATTCCCTTGAGATGCTTTCATATTCTTCTGTTATGCTTCCTTTGCCTGATTCTTTCAAAATACTCTTGATATCACCCGAGTAGAATCATATTATTCCTCAATGATTCTTCGTTGGAAGCATCAGGAACGCGCCAAAGATCCGCCATTTTTCTCCGCCATTTCCGGTGATCAGTGAAGAGCGGTGTTGGGTGCTGTGTGGTTGCGAGTGGTGCCATTTTTAGGCTGGAATTGAGCCTTATTGAGGGTGAGTATCATCCTTAGCAGGAACTCATATGACGATGGAATGCTTGAATTGACTTAGGCCCTTGATTTTTCATATGTAGTGTTCTTCTAAGGTTGCGTGTACTTGTGCTTCTGATGTCTAAATGAGATCATTAATATACAGCATTATATTTGTTTAAATAGGTAGGTACCCAACAGTTGAACATCGTTGTTCTGATACATGTTAACTTCTTACATATCGAGTATAAGCGAACCTGTTCAACCAATCTTATACAAAATGCATTGGGGGGGGGGGGGGGATTGCCTCATACTCTTGAGTATGGGTGAGCCAAACCCAGTAATCTGAGAGTAGACATAAAAGACAGGAAGACTAGGAAGACAGGAAGACTCGACATAAAAGAATGGAGTGCAACTAGGAGCCACTGGGGCCCTTACATTGCTGCACTTTCCCCAGCGATTAGTACCAATTCCCTTATAATGAAAAGCTATGCCCTTTTTAACGAAGAATGAATCCAAACTTGCTTTAAAGAACCTAAGTGAAGTGACTGAGACAATTTCTGTTTCTTTCAAGAAACAGTGGTGGCCAGCGCCCAGTGCCTTGAAGAGGCACTCCTTCTCTTCGGGGTCGCCCACTACGTCTTCAACCAGAAAGTGTCCCGTGCATCGCGCTCCACGATGTGGTTCATCGTCCACGACATCATGGGGCTGCCGGCAGAGTCAACAGCGACGGCGAACGCGCTGAAAAATCTGTCGGTGCTGACAGCATAGTGTGCCCGCGCAGTGAGGTAAGCCCAGGGACGGAGTGGAGACGGAGTGATGGACGGAGATGATGGAGACGGACGTGATGGCCCGCCCCACAGGGAAAGGGGTCACAAGCGGCATGGGCGGGCCTGTTGACATCCTGTGGCAGCCCCTGGGCTACGTTGTCGGACTTTCTTGAGGTCAGGGAGGGGGAACTCGTAGGAGCCACACGCTCAACTTTCGTTGTGTAGCAAAGGTGGGAAAAACCACGCCATTTGAAGGGGCACCGGTTGTTTTGCGACTCCTTCGTAAGAGGGAACGGTCATCGTAGAAGAGCCAGCGGCGCTTCTCGTGTGTCATGTGTTTTTTACAGCCTGGATCTCAACATGTGATATGGCATTTGTTATATGAGGCGTGTGCGTGACATATGTTTAATATGGATAGTACAAATTGAATGTCTCTTGGCAACTAGGAAGCTGTGATTTTGACATGAATGCAGAGGCAGTTGTCTTTCCAATCAATACAGTACGTTTTTCTTATACACACAAGCGTATCGTGGTTGCTGTTGGTGTGGCTGAGCGTCGATGGCATGGGCGGATCCAGGAAATTCAAAGGAAGGGCGAAGGTGGTTACATAAATGGCGTCTCTTACCTTTGTGTGGGTAAAGAAATCAGTGCGCTAGGTATCTCATGGGGATCTCACGAGGAATAGCATGACCCCGCGAGCCCATCCCTTGATCCGCCACTGCGGAACGAAGCATCAATGGGGTATATAGAGAGCATCAAAGGAGCATCAATGTGGTGTATAGAGAGCATCAAATCAGCACCAATGGGGTATATAGAGAGCATCAATGGGGTATGTAGAGAGCATCAAAGGAGCATCAATGGGGTATATAGAGAGCATCAAAGAAGCATCAATGGGGTTTATAGCAAGCATCAAAGGAGCATCAATGGGGTATATAGATAGCATCAAAGGAGCATAGATCGGGTTTAGACGGAGCATCCGAACTATGCTAGGGGGCATCAAAGGGGCATAGAGGAGAATCAGGGGGAATACCCTAGGCATTTCGTAAGAATAATGGAGGCATAACCAGATAATCATTTTGATTC